AGCAGGTACCTCCTTTATTGGACATGATCTCTGATCGATACTACAAAAAACTTGGTATTTTACAAAGCATAAATCGGAGAACGCTATCCAGAGGCGGCACACAATGAACCCGTGATTTATCGGAGCATTCTTTTTGCGCAAAAAGCTCAGGTCAGTGTCGGAGCGAAGCACCAAAAGGGCATTTCGTGTAATCCGCGCGCACACCGTGGGAACGACGCTACGCACCGGCTTGCGCTATTTGATCATGATATTCAACTTCATCATACATCGGGTCAACTTTGGGAGGCGAAGCTGATGCGCTGGTCAGTAGATAATGACCAATAAGCGGGTATACTTACTTACTTACATCAAAACGGAATCAAAACATTTAAACATAATCTATTTAGCGTCAAGGTTTTATCTTCTTGAGTTATGAAATGGGTAATAAGTGTAAATTTAGCTACCGACGGCGACCGTTGGAGCTGCAAGAGTAAAGCATATTAATCGAAGGAATCGCTACGCATTTTTCTTATTTTTGGACAGTAAGGTGAGAAAATATTACTGGTTCATACCTACACGATGACAACAGTACGAGTATGAGATAACTTGAAAGTGGTTTGAATGTGATACCCATCTTAACCGTAACATAAAGGGCTTCCCTAAGACACGTGAGTCGACCAGCCTCGTATCACACTTGAGTGACGCGAGTGCACATGTATGTGTCAGGCTTCTTGGGCCGGCTACGAAAACCCACAGATCAGAGTACCTCACAAAATATAGAATGGCAACTCAAGATTTTATAAGGAACTCAAAGACAAGTTCAGACGACAACAAACATTTGAGGATTGTGAAAATTTACACAGGGTTTATACTTTTCATCTTTTATTTATGTTAATTCAATCTACGTCGATAAGGATTTATTATATTGAAATAAGTAAGTGCCTACCATATGTCCCTGATCTTACTAATATTATGAATGCGAAATTTACGATGTTTAGATGTTTGAATGTTTGTTACTCAATCATGCCAAAACGGCTGGACGGATCTGGATGAAATTAATTAATAAACTCCGAAGCCGCGTGCTGAAGCTAGTTTATGTATAAAGTCAAATTTTTTACCTGACTCGTTGTTTGTTTTTCGAATGTACAAGAAGGGGTTCACGTATTGATATTAAAAACACAAATATTGTTTGGAGTGTGGAATTGTGGTTCAATTCCGTGTTACATGGGACTCATAAGTCATAATATGTGTTTATATTACAGGTACATAGTAAGTATATTAACACAAACCGAAGAAAAAAATTGACAGATAAAGACTTTATTTTCGTAAGTCAAACAATTTAATTACGTTAAGTTGTAAAACATATAAAGCTGTTTATTTATACAACTATCGTAAATGACGGGTCTGCTGAGCAGATACATCAAATGTTGGAGTTTTATAGCCGCCGAGCCGAGCCGCCTTCACGTCAGCGGCAGCGGCACTTTGAAACCGAGTACTGCCATTTCATCCATATGTTTCCTCGAATTAACGTCTGTTTTCTACGAAGAAAACGGCTGTCATAAAACTCGTTATAGATTTTACGTCGTGTCTATATCAGAAATTTTAATTATTAGATAGGTGACTTTTGTGTATTCTATAAACATTATATAATATAGGTAGACTACATAACTTTAGTATAGGTATCGCAAAGGCACCAATGTTTGACTACGAACCAGTGGTCGACATTTATTTCTATCACTAAGGGCTGGTTATTCAAAGCTATCTGCGGAATAATAATAGATAATTATGATGCTGTCGCGTCAGAATGTTTGTATAAGACAATGACAGCAAAAATTTCATTCCTCAGATAACATTTATCTGACTATTGAAAAATCAGCTCTAACTGTAATAATAAAAACGAATAGATTTTTAAATATTTTTTGGTCTGGTATTAAACCAGAAGCAGGCCAAATGATGCTTGATATTAGGAACTATGGTACCGGTGACCCTCCAGTAAAAATAACTTATGCGGAGGTTGATAAGGTTATTAAGCAGATGACCAGAGGGAAGTCACCGAGTCACGATGGTCTCAGCATCGAGCATCTGCAACATGCAGGTGTTCATCTGCCCAGGGGTGTATCCATGATGTTTACGTTGTGTCTTGGTCATAACTACCTACCAGACGATCTCATGAAAACATTGTAGTGACTATTATTAAAAATAAGACGCATCGGATAAGGGGAATTGCTGTGCTTAAGGTGTGCTTAACAGACATTTAAGCCAACATGTCTCTCTGCATGACGCTCAGTTCCGTTTTCGACCTGGGTTGTTCACTGAATCTGCAGGACTTTGTATAAAGCATACTGTCCGGTACTATACTGTCAGAAGAATACAAGTATACGCCTGTTTTCTGGACCTGTGAAAAGCGTTTGACATGATGTCTTACAATGTTCTATGGAGAAAGATGAGGCTAAACACCAGTCTGCCTGTGGAATTCACTAATATATATAAGTATTGGTATGATAACCAAAGCAATTTTGTCAGATGGATGGGCGAATGCTCAGATGAATATAGGATGAAGTGTGTAAGGCAGGGGGGTTTGACCTCACCTACTTTATTTAATCTGTATGTAAACGAACTGATTGAGGAGCTCAGCAGTGCCGGTGTCGGATGCTCAGTAGATGGTATTTTTACAAATAACATAAGCTACGCTGATAACATGGGGCTGCTGGGGCCCTCAATCAGTTCTGTGAGGACACTATTGACGATATGTGAACGGTATGCATTGGTCCATGGGCTCAAGTATAATGTCAAGAAGAGTGAGCTGCTACTTTTTAATGCTGGTACTAAAACTTACACTGTTCCTCCAATCACACTTAATGGAAAAATCCTACAGCAAGTGTCTAAGTTTGAATACTTGGGTCACTGAGTGATTGAGAAACTAACCGATGATATTGACATGGATAGGGAGCGCAGGGGATTGTCGATAAGGGGTAGCGTGCTTTCTCGCAGGTTTGCGCGATGCTCTCGTGACGTTAAAGTCACACTATCTAAAAGCTATTTACTGCCAAACGTTCTACACGTGCAACCTGTGGAGCTGTTAGGCCTCTGTCTCGAAACTTGGGCGGCGGCGGCAGCGGCGCGGAAGCGGCAGGATCTTACGCGTATAATCAAATGGACCGGCCCTCGAATACAGCGGCGCGGCAGCGGGATACTCGAATTCAGCTAAATCAGTAAGTTGAATAATGAAATTACAAAATTATATTAAGTAAAGGTTATATCAAATAATACCTATATGATTGTGGCTTAAATCTAGATTCACTCGAGTAATACAGGCATAAAGGTCGAGTAATACCTAATTATTAAATTCTAGGTACCTACCTAGGTATTACTTGAGAAAACAGGATTATATTTGGCGACATAGACAATTCGTAGTTTAATTAATTAACACAGTATCTAGATACATTACTTACAGGCTACAGATAGGTACGTATTTATACCTAAACATATCTAGGTACTCATTTAACCTTTCGTGTGATTTAGAGAGAGACACAATGTGATTTTCTATTCTGTCTTTTATACCAACATTCAACGGGTTAATCTAATTTATCTAAGCTAATTTTCTTATTTACCTAAGTATATGTTCTTTATTTGGTCAGCAAACGAGCCTACGGATTACCTGATGGAAAGCAATCCACGCCGCCCATGGTCACTCACCTCACCTCACCTTTTCGGGATTGTATGGATGGATTTCGGATATTTAGGAATTGGGGAGAGATATTACCTCACTTAAACACGAAACACAACGCTGTGGTTGTTTCACGCCGGTTTTCTGTTCGGTAGGTCGTGGTATCACTCCGGTCGAACGAAACTTGACTCTCCCACACTTTCACTCAATGTTATAAGTAAGTTTACAATAAGTATCTAGGTACCTATACAATCTACTTCATTTAGGATGGTCCCAAATCCTTTCTGTGTAAATAACCAGAATATATCTAATAAGTATCTCGTAGGTAGTGTTATTAGTATGAAAGTTTACTTTAATCAAAAATCAATAAAATTAAATTATGTAAGTAGGTATCTCATGAGTGCAGAGCGTAGATACGTAATCCTGCGCCACGTGCAGTATAATCCCAACTAATTGAAAGCGCGCGGCGCTTATCCCTCGATGATCAGGTGCTCATCCTCACGGGCGGTGGTTGTCAATCGGGGGTGAAACTTACAACTGGATCAATATTGATTAGCAACACTTTCAACTTTATTTTGAATTAGAAGGAATATACAGGGTGTCCGGTAAAGAATAGATGACCTTGAAATGTGTTTTACGTACCTAAGTTATGATGTCTTGAAGTAGAAGAACTGGTGCTAAAGGTACCTAATAGAAAAAGTTACAAGTACAATACATTATTGCATAACCACGATGGTTAAACATTGCTGGGGAAATAAATTATGCACAATTTGTCTAAAATAATTTAAATTGCAAGTTTTTTATAAAAACTTTTTTTTTGTTTCGTATATTTTCTGAATGGCCATGAAATATACCTACTTAAAGGCATTGCAATCCAAAATTATCCCTTCTTTACCGGACATCCTGTATAGGTAACACGTAATTATACTTAGATGCATTCGATAACAAATAATCGCAATTATCAATTAACTTACGTAAAACTATTCCATTGCTGAATTAATGACAGACAAGTTACAAACAAAATTACCTACTTGTCATACAACAATATACATACCTACAGAAGTCTTAGAAACTAAAAAATATGATAATGTAATCAATTGTTCTAAACAATACCTATCTATATATAGATATATATATAGTAGATAACTGAATCTGGATATGGTGGATATGGTGTTGGTACCTTTATGATAAAAAGCATGACGATGTTCTGGATTCATAAATTATTGTTTCGGTTTTAAGCGTGATGTGTATATTAAATTGCATGCTTGAGATTGATGCGCCCAGTACAAAGGGGAAAATCCTAATGTGGGGCCTTTTTTTGTTGGGACGAGCCCGCCACAAGCTCCCATAACCGCTACAACTCCTGTGAGCCAGGATCTACAGTTGATACAACCATGAAAACACCGAAATCCTGAACGCCGGTGCGTCCGATATAAATGACTATCTTGGATCCCGTAACGAAATTCTTCAGAAGATGGGTCGGCTCGAACGGAGTGATACCACGGCCTCGTAACTCCTCCGTTGCGAGTGTCCATGGGCGGCGCTGATTGATTACCATCAGGTAATCCGTCTGCTCGTTTGCCGACCTATTACATAAAAAAAAGATAATGTTATTGAGAAGAAGAAAAAAGTAAACACTTGCCTCGGTGAATTCAATACATGATCCACAAGACACTTTACAACTGGGAGAAGCCCAGACACTAAGTACAGAAAATTTACTATTTTAATAACTATTGAAAAATCTGTTTTAATTAGTATTTAAAATAAAAGTAATTCTTCTTTTTTTTATTATACATTATGGTCAAAATCTAAAAATCTAAAAGTACCTATAGTCAATCCCACCGGTTTATCTGACGCACATCCAAATTCAGCGCCATCTGTTAGCATCAAGTAACATATTATCATTAATATTTTACAAGTACGTTTCAACTACTATATTAAATACACAACTTCAACTTTTAATATGTTTATTAAATTTATTCAGGCCGTGTCATATAAAAACTAATATAAGATTGAAGAGCGTATTATTTGTATACAAATTATGTTAGTCGATTTTGTAACAAATACGGTTTTCGTAATCGTAAATACATGTATTCACTAGTCTAAAAATGTTGCATGAACAATAAACTAATCTTGACATTTCCTACTTTCTATTTGACAAATAAGTTTACAAGAGTAATTTTTAATGAGCAAAAGTTTTTTATACCTAGTTGTTGTTTTATTATGAATGACGAAATGAAGAATAATGTTAAAGAAACAAGAGAATTATATTCCATGATACATCAAGAATATGTAATTATGGCAGAATAGTGAGTACAAATTGGTAATTGCTTGATACTGTTATCAAAATTGAGGACAACATTTTTACGCGTTTTCTTGTCTTTTTAGTCGTATGTTGCAAACGGAGAATCTACAAGGAATATATGTAATTCCTTCTTATGAAAATTCATTTGGTAAGTGTAAAAAACCATAGATTTTTAATATGAATCGAGATGAAATATAATTATCTAAATCATGTCCTTTTATAAATATAATTATTTTCAGTGTGGTTTGGAGTTATTTTTGTAAGAGCGGGATTTTACGAAGGGGGTGTTTTTAGATTCACATTAACATTACCAGAAAAGTTTCCAGATGAGGAAGTTCCTGTAAGTGTTAACATTGTTAATATGCAAAATGTGAAACTTAAATGGCTATTATTACATGAATTATTTTGATAATTCCAGATTTTGACATTTACTTCAAGCTTATATCACCCAGCAGTTGATGCTCATACGGGTGTTCTGAATTTGAATGAAGTTTTTCCACAATGGGACAGAAAACAGAATCACTTATGGCAAATTCTTAAATATGTGTATTCAATATTTCATAACTTAAATGTTAAAGCACCTGCAAATGTTGAAGCCTCAGTTGCGTAAGTTTAGTTTAAAATAAGCATACAGGAATAACAGGAATTACTTTCAAATCAAAACAGTAATAATCAATGTTTTTTTTTTCAGTTACAAAAGTAATAAGAAAATGTTTTTGGAAAAAGTAAGAGAATGTGTTGTTTTAAGTATAGACCATGTTTATGATGATCCTCCTACAGAAGATAAGCATTACATAACATTTAAGCCATATGACCCAGATGTTCATGATACAGTCAAAAACGTAATGTTGAAAACTCCTGTATCAAATGATGCTATAAACCAAGGAATTTCGTGGGTACAACCAGGGTCATTTCAAGCCTTTTCTAAAGAAGAAACAACATAGCTAACAAAATATATTTATTCATATCATTATATATTTACAAAAATGTTTACCTATTAGGCTTGCAACAAATATTTGGTTACTATTCGGAAAATTCTGCTACTTTTACTGTATCTGGAATTATTGTAAGTATTATTGGGCTGATCACCAAATACTTCAGTTATGTTTCGTAATAGTGAGATAATGGGTAAAATAAAAAATTCTTAAACTAAATCTAAAAATTACTGTATTTTTACAAAGTAGAAATGCACAGTAAACAATCATTAGACAAAAGTATTCAACCTGGTTTATACACTAAAACTTGTGTAAATGGGACTGTTTCCTGCTTGGTTACAGCGAGTGTGGATTGTAAATTAAAAGAAACAGGAACAAAACAACTACATTTGTACAAGTTTGAGCAAATCAAATCCAACCAAATATTTTAGCATAATATTATTATAAGCCTATTCAGTTATGGGGCACGCCGAATATTCGGTATTAGGCATATACTACTGGATATGGGTGCTATTTGTTGCAAGCCTTGTTTATATACAAACAAATGTTAATTCAAATAAGCCATTATTGACATCCTGTGATAATATCTGTATTGTTCAATTAATTTAACCACCTAATAAATTATTATGTTGAGTGATTTTTGTGTTTACTTCCACAAAAAGACAATAAACCTTTTTGGAATTATATAACTAAAATTAACAACAACTACTGTTGGTCATACCTTACGCATAAACAACTAGACCGATTCCGATTATAAATCAATTCCAGACTGCTGTATTTGCTATGGTAAGTCAAGTAAGATCAGGAGAAAGTATAAATAAAATAGAACCTAAAAATATAGTATCAATATAGTTTCAATGCTGTGGCGGTTCTCAAACAAAACAATGTCTAACACCGAAGTAACTAAACGCCCGTGGATATAAGGGACGTAATGAGGCGGTAGTTAAATATAAATAAACGAGCTCGCATATCTAGTCTGATTCTGATTGAATAGTCAATTTATGTTTTGTTACGTGTTCCCTAAACCAATTCTGATCAAGTTCATAGGTATTATTTTGCCACCTGAAGTGTGTAGGTGCATTTGTTTCACTATTATGAAATTCAAAGTTTTTACTAAATTCAATGGCTAATTTTGATTTCACTAATCCAACCCCACCATATTTTTCATCAGTAGGGTGGTATACTCTGCCAGTACTAGGTAACATATAAATTTTATCTGGCATAAATTTAGATACCAGTAAGTCACCTGCATAGCCATAACTTAAAAAATCACTGTTTTCAATATTAATAACATGTGTATAAACAATAGGGACATCATCACACCTTATGAAATTTCTTTCTCTGCCACATAGTGAAATAAAAGGAAAGTCATCTTCGTATCTACCAGTGCGATTAAGACGAATCCTCTTGAAGAAAAATTGTAGAAACTTCTTTTCCTTAAAACACGATGTGAAGTTTTTCATCTTAGAATCATCTAAAAATAACTAAACAAAAAATAAGATATTAGTCTCGCAATGTCTCTTAAATACTCATTATGCTTAGACTTTCCAAGTGTGTTTATTAACAACTTTAATTTGCATTTACATTACCTATTATGCAATTTAAAACTACTATACTGATATCTTAATATTTCGGAAAAGAAATAAATAAAAGGTGCCTGTTCCCAGCAGGTACTAGAACCCAAAGAGATAGGTACCTACCTTATGTCTACATGGGTTCGATTATAGGTATGGGATGGGTAAGAATATTAGGATGATATGAGACAGTGCCAAATGGGAAATTCTTCTTCATCGTAGTACAAAGGTTACTCACCATCCCTTGATGATCGATAAAATAAAAATATTCTCTTATTTTTGGTTCAGGTTCCTGGCCTTGAACATAATGGACATTACGCATTTGAAAATGTTTTGCTTTTGCAAATATCGTTCTAGAAAATGTACGTAAATTACATGTTAAGAACATTTTTAAATTATATTATTATTCTCTCTAAAAGTTATCAATAAAGCTACATATACCTTGACGAAATATCACTTTGTTTTGATTACCATAACCTTACTTGATTATTTCATCTGACAACAACTTTATTATTAAAAAAATATGGCTTTTTTATAATGACTCATCAAAATGATTATATTTAAGACTAGTTTTATTACTAATTATTTACAAAAAGACTGCACGGTTGGCGCAGTGGCTGGACAACTGGCAGCTGTGCAACGTGTCGCCGGTTCCATTCCTGCACGGAACAACACTTTGTGTGATCCACAAATTGTTGTTTCGAGTCTGGGTGTGTTGTGTATGTGAATTTGTATGTTTGTAAACGCACCCACGTCACAGGAAAAAATCCTAGTTGGGGCAACGTTTTTTAAAAAAAGAAGAAAGAATAAAAAGAAAATTAAATAGCAGAATGAAAATCTCTCTGAAACCAAACTTCATCAACTAAAATTAACTTTATGTAGTTGCGTTCTGCGCTTTATACGTCATTTATTGTTTTCTATATATAGATAAATGCATTTGAGACATTGTTTTATCATTAATAGAATAGAAGACAAAACGTGAAGAAGTTCTCAGGTTCAAAGAGTAAAACATCTTGTGTTGTATAGGCTCCATATTTTGTTGCGGGGTAAGCGCAATGAGGCACCGCGGCCTAGAGCAGGAAAAGAAACAGAGAGTTCTTAGTCAGCAATAGTCTGACACACCTTCCCGCCCAACCCTGGGCGGGAGGGAAAAATTATTTGATGATTTTCACCGCACAAAAAAGGCTCCCTAATTTAAAATTTTGCAAATACAGTTAATAAAACGTCGTCATGAAGGGTGACATACCAAATGACAGTAATGACATTTGAAATGATATGAGATGTGAAAGAAATTGTTAGAAAGAAATCCACAAACCATACACAAATAATTAACTACGTAAAATAAATATGTAAATTATAACAGTGCAATGATCCATAACTGAATGAAGATTTGTAATTCGTTTATTTGTATGAATATTATAGTTGAGTGATTATTTCTATACTACAAGGTTACATTTTCCGTACATGGAATTCACATGAAACAAAATCATTATGGAGAGTGTTCGACGATCATGGAAACTACGTATGTATTAAATATACACAAACCATGTAAACCTTTTTTGGTGTTGCATATATGTACTCTATACCTTTATTTATAATACTCTACAGAGGAATTCGTTGCCCACAAAGCAAATGTCAACTGCCTGGCGATGGGCCACAAGTCCAACCAGGTGCTGGCGACTGGTGGCGATGACAAAAAAGTAAACTTGTGGGCCATTGGACGACAAAGTTGCCTGATGGTTAGTCAAATCATTGTATTTCTCATAGTACATTCATAACTCATGTAATTATTTTCAAGTGTCTTGTTATTAAGATCTGTTTATTTACAGAGTTTGAGTGGGCATACAACTCCCGTAGAATGTGTATGTTTTGGCCATTCTGAAGACTTAGTTTGTGCAGGATCACAAACAGGTGCCTTAAAGATATGGGATTTAGAAGCAGCTAAATTGTTGAGAACCTTTACAGGCCATAAGGGAGCTATTAAATGTATGGATTTCCATCCTTATGGAGATTATTTAACAACAGGTTCTTGTGACAGTAATGTAAAATTGTGGGACACAAGGAAGAGAGGGTGTATTGTTACCTACTCTAGCCACCGGCTTGCTGTCAACAGTCTTCAGTTTAGTCCTGATGGACAATGGATTGCATCTGCCTGTGAAGATGGTATGTTACTAAGTGTTCAATAAAAAAAAATACTTATTGTACACATAGCTCCTTACCTTCATAAATTATTATCTTCACAGGTATAGTAAAAGTGTGGGATGTGCGAGTTGGTAAAGTCCTTCAAGAGTTTATGGAGCATACATCAGCAGTAACATGTGTAAAATTCCACCCTCATGAGTTTCTTCTTGCAAGCTGTGGAACTGATAAAACTGTCAATTTCTGGGACATGGAAAAATTTCAGTTGGTATCCAAGTTTGAAAAAGATAATACATCTATCAGGTATGTTGAATAATTATTATGAGTAATGTTACAAGTCTTATATTCCTTTTGTTAGTATTAACATGAGTTGTGGATAGCAATAACAGCATGCAGTTATTTAATGATACTTAAAGTTTAGAGTGTTTTTTTAATTATTTCTTTAGAATAAAAATATCATTAATGTCACTTGTTCTGCATACTTATGTAATTTTCCATTGTTCAGACACATGGTGTTTAGTGATGATGGTGCAACATTGCTTGGTTGTGCTAATGATGGCTTGCATGTCATTGGATGGGAACCAGCCAGAGTTTTTGACACAGTTCATGGACATTGGGGTCAAATTCATGATATTACTGTTGCACAAACACAATTAGTAAGTTTACTTACTATAAATGTTTTTCAAATTAAAATATTTTCATACATTTATTTACTTGTAAATTGACTGTTACAGATAGCTGGATCATTCCATTCAACCTATGTGGTTCTATCTGTAGTTGATCTCAATAAAGTCCATCCATTTGGTGGGCCACCGCCAGTGTCGCCGCCTGTCGTCAGGGATCTGTCCCCTTTCCAAAAAGGGCATTCGGTTCGCAAAAGTTTTTCCAAGGAAAAACCACCAAAAGAAGGTAGGAGGTTGCTAGATGACAATAATTGTTAACTCGTTTTATTATTTGGTATGAAAAACTAATGTTTGTTACTATCAATACAGTCATGCACCGACCATCCCTTCTTGATGAAAAAACTGCTGAGGAATCGACATCAGGAACTGAAGCAGATGAGGAATCAGGTGCTGTTATACCCAATTTTAATGACTACACTGAGATATTCCGACCTTCTAGAGCATGTGAGTACACAACACAAATCACAACACATCCACGAAAAAATTATAAAAATCACTGTTATGAAACTGGACAATATTCGTTTATCTTTTTATTTTTAGTAACACGTACACCTCCGCCTGCTACCAGTTTGTCTTCGGAAGATTATTCTATAACAGGTGATATTCGTTTTAGGCAAAAACAATTTATGTATAATTCAAAATTTTATTTTGATGCAACACGGTACATTGGTCAAGTTGGGTTCTTATTAATAACATAATATCCTTATAAGTAAAGACTAACCAAGACACACGTGTACATTAACTACCATGCTTTTACTCACACATATTAAGATCACAAAGTTTTAGTAGCACTACACCAATAATATTCACTCCATTTTAAAATATGCTTTGTTTGCTACTTCTAAGGTTTAATTTATCATGGATGGGTAACGCTGTTTACAGCATTGACCAGCTGGGTCATTAATTGCTATGCATATAATATGATATTGCATATTTGAAGATCTATTCATTAAAACCTTCCATATTAGTTGAATGAGTCAACACATATTCCTGGTTTAGTATTATTGCTAGTAACACATCAATAACTTCTTACTAAAATAACTAACATTTTTATAACCGAATAAGACAACCAATATCTAGTATAGCTTTATTGAAATAATATGTTTTTTCAACAGTACAAGAGCCTGTGGAAAAAGTTGAACCGGTTGTAAACACCTGTCTTCGCGATCTAATGTTAGACGAACCGGCACCCCTGGCGCGACCGTTGCCACAGCCTTCTCCGCCCCAACGACAACGATCAGAACATTATTCCCGCATACCAACTTCAACCAAAGAACATTATACTGTTGTAGAGAAAAAAACTGAGAGTTTCTCAAGTAAGATGTACTTATCACTAGTTATCCGATCGGGCTTCAAGCTTAATTAAAAGTGTAGACCATATTTATTCTTACAATTTAATTGTTATTGTTGTGCATTATATATTTAAAAAATATGGGTTTTGGTGACATTTATGTAATCATGATTGTGAAGGTAGAAAGAAAGTAATAATAAAAAGCAGATTGTTATCAACAAAAAAAAAAAAACATTCCAGTATTACGATTATAACAAGAATAATAATTGTATTTGAATGAAACATTCTTACTGGAAAGAAATAATAATAGTAGGTAGTTATTGTTTTTATCAGGAGATGCTTTATTATGTATTTAATTGTGGGTTTAACTGACTAATCAACCATTATAATAGTATGCTATTTGCTTGATCAGGGGTGATGGACAACACAAAAGAAAATAATGCATTCACAACAGCGCAATCATTAAGGGATTATGCCTCCAGCCCGCTCACAGCAAACTCGCTTAATCGTCATAATTCATACAAAGAAACAAAGTCTACCACTGATTTATGTAAGTCTCAATAATTAATTGTTTGATTCATTATGTCAATTTATATCTTGCACTGATATAACTGTCTGACTGCAGCTACCACCAACCTCCGGCCAAGTAATAGTGAAATATCCTTAGGTCCGCCTACATTAGGGCCTAGATCGTTATCTTTCACCAGAGCACCTACTGAGGCTTCAAGGTACTTTTTATATTATTTTCAATACCTAATATGATATTTAAAAAAGTACATTATATTTAATAAACATTTTAATATACTTGTAATTCCAGGCGCAGAGTAGAGACCGTTGCTAGAGAAAATGTAACAGTGTCTCGCAGTGTCGAAGCTCCAGAAGCTGAACCAGAGCCAGAATTCGTGCCTTTTACCACTGACAGACCGGTCGGACTCGATCTCGATGAATTTTTACCCGTGAGTTTCGTATGTAACACAGTATTGGGTAGCTAATGCTCAACGCCGGATTTCCAAATTTTTGATATTTTCATGGATTAGTTAGTAATTCTAAGTATTAATCAAGAGTTTTATGTGGTTGTAGCGGGGTCTGGCAGGTGGAAATGCACGGCGAGGGGCACGAGGTGGCGGCGCGGAGCCAAGTGAGCAGGAGGTGCTCGGCGTGATGATGCGCGGTCATGACTCCATGATGGCCGTACTCACAGCTAGACAACGAGCTTTACAGGTACGCAATAACCTACTTTTTTCTAGTCGATGTCGGTACCTGTATTACGAGAGACTTACTATCTTACTTCCATTCAAAAATAAGATTAGGACAGGCACAGGCAACTTACGAATGTTTAGTTATTTTTTGCGTCAATTTTTAATTACATTGTAAAGTAGAAACAATTTATTTTTCGTAAAGTCAACCAAGTACCCTATTTGTGTTATTTATTTTTTTTCAGATTTTTCATTCCGTCCGTGTTAATAAAAGTCTGAGATCTGCATTAGAATCTGTTATCGCTCTCGAGGATACATCTGTGATACTTGACATCCTTAATGTAATGGCGCATAGACCGTAAGTAAATATAAATATAATGTCTGCATATTTATCTAACATGAATTACGGAAATAATGTAAAACTATGATATGTTGAATGTAAAATTTAATACTATTTTTTTCAGATCATTGTGGAATCTGGACATCTGTTTGTTAATGCTACCTAAGATATACGAATTATTACAAAGCAAATATGAATCGTAAGTATTAAAGACTTGAGTTTTAAAGTATTGGAAAAACATATTAAAAATACAACACTCGCAAATATTTTTGTTTCCCAGATACATGCAATGTGGTTGCAATGCTTTAAGGCTGATAGTACGCAACTTCTCATCTGTAGTGAGAGCTAACGTAAGTGCTCCAGTGCGTACCTTGGGTGTAGACATTCCTCGTGAAGAGCGTTATTCTAAATGTATGCAAATACACCGACTCCTGCTTGACGTACGGGCTTTCTTGCTGAAACGACAAACGCTCCAGGGACGCCTTGGAGCTGCCTTCAGAGATCTTCATAACCTGATGCAACAAGGTCTTGACTGACATGCTTTTATGTCAGTCAGGTAAAACTCAAAACTGACAACTTATTTAACTTCCTATATTAGGTAATAATCTTGTTTTATCTTCAATATATTTTCTCACTGTTGACATAAGCAAACTAAAAAACATACATAGAGCCACTTGTAATATTTATTAACAATAAATCTAATAATATCTAAAAAGCAATGTATTTTTTTAAACATCACATCTGTGGAACAAAACAAACTATTACATTTTATGCTAGCAAAGAGGACGACACGAAGAAACTGGTGGTCGTAACTCTCTCTCGCTGGGACGCCCTCCGATACCACACGATACGATTTAAGCGTCGGGTTCGTGCAACGGGCGTTCGTGTAATGGGCGGGCTACATTCGGCGACCGGCCGACCAAAACCAGGTCCCAACTTACAATGCGCTGCGATCTGCGTGCTCCTCAAAAAGCTATAACAGCAACATAAATGGGGCCCACTAAGGCTGTGTCCTGGCCAGTTCAGCAAATGCAGGTGCAACAACGCGCCATGTTCTAGCCCGGACCAGAAATAGGAGCAGCATGGTTTCAAAAAAGGAAGAGTCTGATACTAGTTAAAAGTACCTATTAAGAATATAAATATCACTCCACTTTAAGCACACAGATAAACAAGACAAAAAGAAAGAAAAAAGAAAACTAGAATTTAGATTCTAATATTATTATTATATTGTCTAAAAACAGAAACACCATTCTTGAAAATAGACAGGTATGTCGTGTGTACCCTTTAAAATAATATTTACAATGTAACAAAAAGACAGTCTACTTTTAATAAGTATTGGATTTCTTTTCCATCCACTAATAGTATGGATGAAATAAATCATATAAATTAACAAAGTCACAAATTAATTGTTAAGCTTTTTTCTTTTACTATTTGTTGCCTCATTGTCAGGATTCCGGTTTTGTCTCTTCTTATTGAACTTTTCCATTTTCTTTGCTAAAATTTCATCTGAGACATCTTTTACCATTTCACTGCTTGGTTGTTCATTTTTATCTGCATTTTCTAACTCCATGAGCCTTTCTATCTCTGGATTCATACCCTTAAATGATAACCGACCTTCAAGCATTGTCTCACAAAATATAAAACTTGATTCAGATATGAAATTGCCAGATGCACTTCTCATTTCATTTGTTATTATATTGGAGTATAAACTGCCATGATCTTGAGTGTTTTCTATTTCTTTTTCTATCCTTTCTCTCGTTTTTTTCATGAATTTCATTTCTAGTACCGATTTGGGCAACTGTATCTTTTTAGTTTTTCCAGCCATCGCAATGTGTTTATTTGTAAGTTCGGTATAGAAAGTTAATTATTATTATAACTTAAAACGCGGTGAAGAGTAATAGTTTTTGAGGTTGCACTTATCCTCAATATTGCACTGCTTTTATTACAGTAAATAATTGGGTAGTGAAATTAGTAGGACATAGAGTTTTTTGTACATGAAATTGAATTTATCACAAGTAATATCGTTTTACTGTCTTTAATAATCACATTAAATAACATAACCTATACTATAAACAAAGCACCTCAACCTTATGATTATTAAGGATCCTGGATCTGTCAGTTCTGACATCTGTAACTACATTTCAATGTAATGTCGATATCGATACATGAAACTTACTAATTATGCTGGGTATACACGGTTTTAATAACTAGAGTGCGTTAATGAAAATCTTTGATGAAGATTAATTTGTTTATTTTGCAAACTAGATTAATTTATTTAAATGATACAAGTAGAACTTTAAATTATGTATTTGTTATGAGATTTTCAATAAATAAAACTTAATTCTGTCATATTCCAAATCCATATCAAAATATAAATACTATACCTTATAAAATATAGCTTGATCTCTGCATTGACATAGGAAATATATGGACTTGAAATACCTACGAAGAAAAGGTGCATACCTACAATCCAAAATGTCGCATAAGATGGCTGCCGTTGCTAGGGTTGTGCCGACTAAGTATTTAACGAGTATCGATATAATTTGAGTAAAAGTTCTACGTAGGTATAGTTTTAGGGATTAGCCAGCTGATTAACGGTATTTTTTTATGGGAAATCATCTAATGTCATCTCCGTCCTTTTTCGGGACAGACCGTTACTGACTAAAATCAACTCCTGTTCCTACTTTGCCGTCGGCCTAGCTAGAACCCGGAACCCGGGGTTAACTTGGTCTCTTAATTGGCTAATGATTTACTCAAGTCGAATTTGTATTCATATAATTCTACGTAAAGCGTCTTTTAAAAAAATAGGACTGTGTTTATGAACAGCGTTTAATGGAATGGTGAAATAGAAAAAGATAGTGTTTGTTAAATGTTTATCTTCATAAACGTGGAAAACCTGTGGGTATTTGTGAAGTGCTCGCGCACAATTTCGGCGCGTCTGATTAAGCGATGATATCTTCGAAACTACGTTAGCACAAAATAGATATGTAGTGAAGTCAATCTTATTGTATATATCTCACTTTTTATTATTACGCTTGGTGGTCGCACTGGGATCGTCGCCAACGCCGCTCTGTCAATTGCGCCCGTATAATTATAAAACATGATAATTTGAACTTCTACTTATGTAACTAAAACCAATACCAAAATACTGACGTCTTACTTTAGCGTTACACAAAACTGCGGAAACATCCATTGTTAAAATAGATTATTTAGTATAATATATGTTGAATTTTAAATGGGAGATTATATCGATACTTTTGTGAAATGGTACGTAACTATGCCATATTGACATATTATTGTAAACAACAATTTTTTACTAAAACTGTCTCACAGACAGAAATAAAAGTAAATATATATACTTTGGCAATAGATTAAAGTATCCGTGACATTTTTTTCTATCTATGTGGATTATTCTAAGTAATATTTGATGAAAACTGTTTACTAACCTATACAAAGACAATTGAGGTTGATTTTCGTTATTTTTTGTACCACACTGCACAATACAACACACAGGCATATTGTTTTTTTGTTTCACTATATATGTTTGAAGTTTAAAAAAATGGTTCTTTGCAATTTACTGAAAAACAGCAATAATATAAAACATAAACAACCGTTTGACAGGACAACTACCATGAAACTCAGGTACTCTGAGCGCTTAAGATGGCGGACATGGCACTTACCTACAACTTTGCTAATGTCAAAATGATTTGTTTCCATATTAAGCAACAACTTAAATATTGTTGTCTCTTTTGTCTAATACAATTATTGCCTTAGAAAGAGTGAGAAAAAATGATATTTCATAGTTTGTTTCATATTTCCCTCATATTTGTATAAGCATGTATACTTCTATAGTAACACGGCGCCTCTATATATTTTCTATCTATATTGGTTTTAGTTACATAAGTAGAAGTTCAAATTATCATGTTTTATAATAATACGCGCGCGATTGACAGAGCGGCGTTGGCGACGATCCCAGTGCGACCACCAAGCGTAATAATAAAAAGTGAGATACATACAATAAGATTGACTTCACTACATATCTATTTTGTGCTAACGTAGTTTCGAAGATATCATCGCTTAATCAGACGCGCCGAAATTGTGCGCGAGCACTTCACAAATACCCACAGGTTTTCCACATATATAAAGATAAACATTTAACAAACACTATCTTTTTCTATTTCACCATTCATTTCATTTTTTTAAAAGACGCTTTACGTAGAATTATATGAATACAAATTCGACTTGAGAAAATCATAAGCCAATCAAGAGACCAAGTTAACCCCGGGTTCCGGGTTCTAGCTAGGCCGACGGCAAAGTAGGAACAGGAGTTGATTTTAGTCAGTAACGGTCTGTCCCGAAAAAGGCCGGAGATGACATTAGATGATTTCCCATAAAAAAATACCGTTAATCAGCTGGCTAATCCCTAAAACTATACCTACGTAGAACTTTTACTCAAATTGTATCGATACTCGTTAAATACTTAGTCGGCACAACCCTAGCAACGGCAGCCATCTTATGCGACATTTTGGATTGTAGGTAGGCACCTTCTTTTCGTAGGTATTTCAAGTCCATATATTTCCTATGTCAATGGTTTCTCCGTACTGTTAAATTCAGAACTTCATAGGCGCGATTTTACTGACAGCTGTCCCAGAGATCAAGCTATCTTTTACTGTATACACAACAACTTTATAACGTAACTTGGTGAAGTTTCACAAAGATTGCCATGTTAAAAAAATTAGCACGTGTTATTTTTTGTAGGAGACTGTCAATGTCAAGTTGATAACCAATGTGCCAAATCAAAACAAACCAGCACCAGCGTGTTTTCAAATGTGAAAGGATTAAAATAAATATAGTATTCTTAAATGTGAATTAAGGTTTAATTATCAGGAAATTGCTTGCAACAACAAAATGCAGTTATCTGAAATAGATAACGTGAAAATATACAATCTCAGCGTTGGAAAATCCCTACCTGATGTAAGCACAAACATTAATAACCTATTAAATATTCAATATTATTGAAATGTTTTACTCTAATAATAATCTTTAATTTTTAGTGGCTGACAGAGAGAAAAAAGCGTGCTCTACTCAAGAAAAATGTTGACCTCAGGCGAAAAATTGAGCTTATTCAAGAGTTTGATATGCCAGGAGTAAGCACCACTATTCGAGTTTCCAAAGATGGACAATATATAATGGCCACCGGCATTTACAAACCAAGAATAAAATGCTATGACGTTAATAATTTGTCCTTAAAGTTTGAAAGATGTCTTGATTCGGAAGTTGTAACATTTGAAATATTAAGTGAAGATTATTCAAAGGTACCTTGGTTGTTAAGACTATCAAAACAATGTTAACAATATATATAATAGATTGAACTTAAGACTGACTGTGATTAATTCTTTTTTCAGATAGTATTCTTACAATGTGATCGGTATGTGGAGTTTCATGTAGGGCATGGTCGACATTATCGACTGAGAGTACCACGATTTGGAAGAGACATAGCTTACCATCGGCCATCATGTGATTTATTTGTTGTTGGTGCATCATCAGTAAGTCTATAATTATTTTGAATGAGCCATACACATTCAATTTTAAATATCTTTTTTTAAATATCTATGTAAATTATTTTCAGGAAGTATATAGATTGAATTTGGAAATAGGTCAATTTCTGGCTCCATATGTAACAAAGGCAAATGAAATAAATTGCTGTGCAGTTAATGAGGAACATGGGTTATTAATGCTTGGCACAGAATCTGGTCATGTGGAAGCATGGGACCCTCGCACTAAATCAAGACAGGGAATATTAGATTGTGCCATGCATTGTACTGATTCAGATTACAAGTATGTAATACTCATAAGTAACTAAGAATAATATTTACATTTGCTATATACTTTCTGCATTATAAAACTGCTTCTGTTTTCTAGAAATGATAAATTGCCTGCCATAACTGCTGCCAAGTTTGATGGACCACTCAGAATGGGTGTAGGTACATCTACAGGACATATACTGTTGTATGACATAAGATCAAGCAAGCCAGTGCTTGTAAAAGACCACATGAATGAAATACCCATAAAAACATTAGAATTTCATAAAACAATGAATTATGTGTATTCTATGGATTCAACTGTTGTTAAAATATGGGATAAAAATACAGTAAGTTTATTGAAGTAATTATTAAACACTAGTTTTGCTTGCTACTTCCCTGGTTCACATTAATAATGGCTTCCTGCAGATTTAGGTTTAAGACTTTAACCAATTGTCTAAAGCCTATTTTATGACTGATTTTAATTTCATAATAACCAATCTAGTACTTTAGTTTTCGTCTATTGTGAGCTCATAAAAGATACTGTAATTTTACATATACAGCAATTTCACTGTTATTGTTGTGTATAACAAATTTTCGTTGTGTAAAGTATTCAGTATATCGAAACACAATTTACCCAAATCTGTGCCATTGTGCCAAGATACGCAGATACCATGATTAGAAAAGAATTTCAGTATAATTCTTGCATTTAGATCTTCCATTACGTCTAATGAGATTGCTCATGCAATCTTTGGAACAGATTAGACTAAGGAATGATATTGATGCATACAAACTTTGCCTCCATGTTAGGGCGTATATATATTGCGTAGATATCTATTTATATCTAAATAGCAATTAAGGCTCCAGTGTGATTCTGAGTCATCCACAAAGCCCTTATATCAAGAATGTGATAAGTACTAACATTACAAAAAATATGTTATTGTTTTAGGGCAAGCAGTACACAAGCATAGAGTCATCAGCTGATTTCAATGATTTATGTGTTATTCCTAACACTGGCTTAAACTTAATGGCTGTTGAAGACCAAAAAATGCAAATATATTATATTCCATCATTAGGTATGTACCAACCATTTTATTTAACTCAATAGCTTTATATTTAGAAAAGTACAAATACTAGTCCTAAAATTTGTCTCTTATTCTAGGACCGGCACCAAGGTGGTGTGCTTTCTTGGATAACTTGACAGAAGAATTAGAAAGCTCTGCATCACAAACAGTTTATGATGACTACAAATTCATTACTAAACAAGAGCTGGAATCCTTAGGCCTTGATCACTTATTGGGTACAAATCTACTACGAGCATACATGCATGGGTAAGTCTTGATGAGTTTGTGTCTTCCCAATGTGTTTGTAATTGAAAGTTTGAATTTTTTGTAAATGCCTAAATAATAAATTTGCAGATACTTTGTCGATGTGCGTTTATACAAGAGGGCGAAATCAATTGCGGATCCATTTGCATTTGAACAATATAAGAAACGCAAGATCAGAGAAAAGATTGAGCAAGAGAGACCATCTAGACTCAAGGTCGAAGACAACTTGCCGAAAGTTAACAGAGATTTGGCATCCAAACTTATGGATGATGGTGGAAAGAAGAAGAAACACACTACTAATCTACTCAAAGATGATCGATTTAAGGTAATTTCTTATAATAGATAATGATCATGTACAATATACTAGTCACTCTGGCTTTTGAAATATTGAACCATGTATGTTGTGTGTCGAGAGGTTAGATATGTATTGTGAGAAATGAAAGGGCTTATTAATTTTATTGCATGACGTGAAAGACTGGAGGAGACATTGGTTTGTGAAACAGTTAGTTGTTGAATAAAAGGGCGGAGCTATGTATATAAATCGTAATGATTGCAGCTGATTGGTGGCACCACTGTCTTTATTAAAAGTTTGTATATTTATTTATCCTTTTTTCTAGGCTCTGTTCGAAAATCCCGACTTTGAGGTGGATCGGGAAGCTGAAGAATATCGCCTACTCAACCCTGTTTTATCTAGGCTCGATAAAAACAAAGATAAGAAAACGGAAACTGAAACTTCTATGCAGGTAACAACTCAACCTATCATGTAATAAATTAGATTCATAAAAAAATATGTTTATTATATTCTACTGTTTTGGTTAACAGGTCGAAGAAACTGAAGAAAAGGATTCGGATATGGAACTGTATGATACTAGTGACGGCGACAGTTCAGATGAAGATCGAACGTGGGTTAAAGAAGTGAAAAAGCAGCACAAAATCATTAGAAATAAATCACGACAAGAAGAAGACTCTCAACCCAACGAGGATCAGGTTTTCGAATCTAATAATGGTCCTAGAACTACAAATATTATTAAAAGCATAACACGGGTTAGCAAAGCTAGTTTAGGAGACCGATTAGCTAAAGAAAACTTTTCCACAATGGTTACAACTGCTGGAGGAAATCGTGAAATGAAGTTTAGTATGAGAGGGAAGAAATCAGAAACACAAAATCATAAACAAATGAAGAAACATCATCAGGAGCGAAAACAATTTGTCAGAAGAACAGGATTTTTAATGAAAAGGAAACTTCCAAAATAGTTATAATTTTATTTTTCATACAAATAAACAATAGACTAAGTTAATTATTTAGTTGTTTCATTTAATTCTTTTTCCTAGCATAAGAGGGGCGGCGCCAGTACATCAGGAACGTAACTGAATGATTTCATATAATAAACAAATATCTACTGGTGTGCTTGGGATGGCATGTAAGTTTTGCCCTGGCATAGTATTGTCTGAAGCTGTCGCGTTTATTCTCACGTGCAAATATAGAAATTCTCTATCTTAATGGGCATGTCAGTAAATCAAATATTGTGGTATTAGTACCTGTATTATACAGGTACCAGTGACAGAAGTAAGTGAGCACATGCTTTTTTTTGGTATCCATTTGGAAAATGCTCATAGGGATCCACCAACCTCAGGGAAGGGCGAAGGGTACTTTCTCCATTATTCTGTGTCGGAGGGGCGGGTATCGCCGAAGCATCCCCCTAGCGGGTACTGGTATGCCAGAAAGCCAGGCGGGTCCCGTCACCCAAAGCGGCCGTGACCCCGACCACGGACTCCACTATGAGGCGCGCTCAGAATACGGCGGCGCCGCCTCGAGGCCTGCTTCTGGTCGGACTACAAGAGCCCCGAGTCTGTCGTCCGCAGGCCGCGCCCTACGGTGGCCGCAGGTTGGCCACCCTACGACATCTAGGACGTCTGCTGCGGGAGGGGAGGAGAGAGGAGGCAGTCTTTCTTTCCCTTTCCGCCACTTGCTTTGCATCACGGCTTCGCAAAGGTACGGTAGACGGCACTCCACCCTGACTCGCTCCCGACCATAGTAGACACTACAGTCGAGAGATTTCCCGCAGCACCTACGGCCGCGACCAAGTTACGGCGCTGCTCAGCTCAAGCTGGGCACTCCGCCAACGTATGCAACATAGTATCATTGCGGCAATCATGTTGTATGAAAGCTACGTGTATCCACAGTACCAATATTTATTATAGCATAACTACTTACGGCAGCAACAATCTTTGTATTTTTTTTCTTTCACTTTACATATGAATCATCAGTTCTCATATGGCCCATGCCCTTCACTCATAGTAAACCTCACGAATACCATATGAGATGCAGGTTGATGTAATGTAAGATATATTTAAAAACTAGTTGGGACAGGTAAACTTATAACAACATGAATAATATAATAAAATGAGGACTTCACGGACTCGAGGCGCACAAGTTTAGGCTCAGGAACATCACACTGAGAATGTTAAAAATTTAGGCAATAAAACGAAAAAATTGCCAACAATCTTGTATATAATATCTAAGTACAAAAACACAATGACATTTGCATCGTATTGGCTATCAGGTTATTGCACTGAGTCAGTGCATTATTATAAGCACACATTCAATGATGTTATTATTTATAAAAAAAAACATTGCAGCGAATCGTTATCTCTGTTGTTCTCAGTGTATCCTTTCAACTCTCAGCGAAAGTTTATTTAGGTAATTGTGCAAGAAACAAAAATTGTGATCTAAATTATTATAAAAAATGCAAAATGACAACGCATCCTACGGTAGTGGTAAGCGCCGACTAGTTTTTTATAGCCTACCGTCATTATACAGATGTTAGTTGTTTGCTACATAAAAGAATAATTATTAATATTTTATCATTTAGTATAATGTGCGTGTTGGTAATTAATGAGTAGATATGGGCAATAAACTGGATAATGTGAATTTTTTAAATTGTTTTGTAGCTAGTGATTTACTGGACAGCCATGTACTGGGCAACGACAAGCTTGCTGAACCAGCGATGGAGAGATCTACCAGGTTCAGTATCGACGGCAATAGTGTGGACGTGAGTAATTCTTATCATTCACATTCAGAACAATTTCTATAGGGATCTGTTGCCTAATTTTGATAACTGCAATATGTATCAATAACAGTTGTTTTTGGACCGCAAAATGTATAATATCACTGATTGAGCAGCTTGTATCCCTATAAAATTATTTTCAAGTGATGATTTATAAACTATGTTTCTTTTTAAAACTAAGTTTAACTTAGTGTTGTCTAATAAAAGCTCTGTTAAGTTATAGTTAGTTTGAAATAATTTACTAAAATTATTATTTTTGTCTGGTTATCTGTTTCCCGGTGAGAATTGCTGATGATTATCCATAACAAAAATATTGTATTTATTGTATGATTCACGTTAACTACATAATATAAGAGAAGGATAGAATTGCAGGAAATACCATTTATTGGGTGAAGATGCACCATTACTCCTTTGCATAATGGTGATGAACAGAAATCAATGGTGATTTAACGTGCCGTAAATGAACTGATGACTGATTTTCAGATTGGAGAAATAACGGAATCTCCTGACACTGAATACATGAGCACCTCCGCTATATTACATTACTGTAAATCAAAGGTACCTAAGACTTGTTATACCTTTTTTTGTCCGAGGAAAATCATCAAATGTCTTCTCCCGGCCAGGGCAAGGCAAGAGAGAGAGTGTCAGACTCTTACTGACTAAAAAGCCCCCCGTTCCTTCTTCTGCTTTAGGCCGTGGCCGCGGTGCCTCATTGTGCTTGCCCCGCTAACCTGGCTGAAAGACTTGTTATACCTAAATAAGTAAACTTTTAATATAATTAACGTATCTAAGAATGCGTTCTTTATATTACGTATTATTTTATTACAGATATTGCTACCATATTTAAAGTTATTAACTATAATGGGACTGCGGCCGGTACTAGATGTATCGAACTCCTCCAAGTGCGCAATATGCTGCTCGCATTTCCATTCAATACAAGTTGCAATACTCATGTTTGTAGGATACATTCTGCAGTACATGGCTTGTTTCAGGTAAGTTCGTGTTATACCCAAGACATCATTATTTAAGGATATACTTAGAATTGATGCCTGTTATTTGTTTAGAGACAGAGCTGGAGCTCATGCATGTTTTTTTCCAGTAAAGAAATAATTGTTATCATCATCTATGGCTAAATTATTAACATATTTTTCACATTTTGTTTCAGGCGAGACAGAGGTTTTTGTTACAAGTTAGTTCCTCTGGCATTAACATCCAGCCTTGAGTATGACAACTATAAGCAAGTGTGTTACGGGAATGTTATTTTCACGTACATTGGGCCCAGCATACTGCACTTCGTGGGATTTTTATATGCGTTATATTTGTTCAGAATTTCAGATAATGAGCAGTTGCAAAATTTAATGGAAAGGGTAAGTACTTACATACTATAAAACTTCAGAAGGCATATTTACTTGTGGCCAACCAGATACAAAACACATGAGTCTTCTGTTTATTACTTTGGAAGATAATAATAAATATTTTTTTATTGACAAAAAATTTACACACAGATACAACTGTTATTTCAAACGTTCGTTGTTCGACTGTACTTAAATACTTATGTCCTTAATATACATGTTTTTAAGGTTTTTCTATTATCCTCGTATTCACCTCAAGGAATGCCCACCACTAAGCCAAAACGGTTACTACGCATGTTGTGGTTTTTTATAATACTCAGCGTTATATGGATGTGTCTGTCATTATGTTCGGTCAATCTGATGTTGGCTAAAGGTAATATAATATTCAGATGGATGGAAAATAGGTGAGTTTATCCGCAGTAATAATAAGTTCATTTAATATACAGTCCCTATTGAAAAAAGGTATTTTTATCAGTAACCTGAGACAATCATGTTGTTTGGAAATCTCGTTTGGTTATGAGATTTAATTTGAATTTTAAGCAATCAATTTAATGACATTGCACACAAATTGTAAGTTTTAAATCACTAAAACATATGACACCGGAGTCCCATATTAATGTTGTTTACTTTCAGTTCCTATGAAATAAGGATGGCGTTAAAAGTGTTGCTAATTATATGCACCTTGATCCACGACATGGTGCAGGCGACTATCATCACAAGTTATTGCCTACAAGCACAGCTGTTACAAGCTCATCTCATGTTCCTCAAAGAACGGCTGCTGAACCGAACTATAACTCCGCTTAACTGGATGAGAGTGAGTAACCAACCATAAATAAAATTTTATTCTACTACGTACTACGAGTAATTCGACAACTTTACTAGGAATTTTCGGTTGAAATAGCACTGGTATAAAGCGGTTTTAAACCTTAAGCATGGCGGTCGTAAAACATCTGAAGAAAAGAAATTGATTAAATAGTTAAGCTTTTAGAATCTTTAAAGAAGAAATAAATTATACTTCTCCAACCTGAGTTTCTAGCTTAAAATCCACGTGCGGTATGATATATGATTGTACGCTATAAATATACATACTTATATATATTTTCCAGGAAATAGCAGAATTCCGTAAGCTATTAAAATATTTAAACGACGACCTAGCACCGGCGGTTTGTTTGTTCACCATCGTGAACATCTCATGGGCGACCTCAGGCATCATGTGGCTCCTCAACTTGGATAAGGTGGACACTGAGACAGAACCCTTGGTCGGCATCAGCATTCTAAATGAGCTCATATGGATTTCAGCAGTTATTGTACCGTTTGTTCAAGTAAGCAATATAATCTATTCTTAGCTTACTTCAACTACATCAAGCTACTTCAATCAATTTTTACTTTTATTGTTTTATAATAACGTTGAAAATCTATTATATGCAGAAGAAACAGAAGAATAGTTTTAGTCGCTGGTTTATACGATAGTTACAATCATTGGCTGCTAAATATTTTTTTCTGTTAAAATATTTCAGGCGGCACGTTTGTCAAAAGAATGCAGACGGACTCAGTCTGTCGGGCACGAGCTGTGCGTTCGTCCGTTCCTACACCAGGACACGTCACAGGAGGACATCACCTCGGTGCTCATGTACGCCTCCACTCTACGTCTACACGCGAAACTATTCCACTACCCCATCGCAGGACGATACCTCTGTCTCGTACTAACCATTACCGTTATAGTACTCTTCTCTCTAGGCATGTGTCATCTATTACAGTAGTATATTTAAATATCAAATTATATTTTAATATATTATAATGAACCAACTATATGTTTACTAAGTGTAAATAACCGTGGTTGTGTGATGTAAATAATATCAATTATTATGAAAATCTAATTCAATGATGAAGTTTTAAATAATGGGATACTAAATAAAAATAAGAATAAATTTGACATTTTTTATTATGTTTGCACTATTTGGCACTAACATATAGATAGACACATTAATCAGATAACACGTCAAAATATATCTATCAAATTGATTAACACCAATACTTAACATCAAATAAATGTTGATCTAAATTTTTCTACACCTACTTGGAATATATTTTTTTACCATAATTTTATTATTTAATATAGTAAATTAACAAGGTCTTCAATTGTTGACTACTCTAATGTCATATTAAAGAATAAGGACACGGTAAATATTTTTAAAGTATAAAGATCCGTAATGGCACAGTAATGGCGATAGACATTTATTAGTGGCTTACTGTTTCTTCAATCATCATTTAGTACATTAGTATAAAAAAGAGAACATAATTACATATCGTTGTTTACACGTCAGATTTAAATTATATTTTACCGTAGTTAGTAATGTCAATATTGATGATACAATTGCACAAATAATACATACAAAAAGAGTAACAAAATAAAAGCAATAACTAAGAATAAATGCTGTTCAGACCATACCATTCAATTGTTATTTAACAGTTTTTTACTGTAGTACATTTTGTCCTTGTAGTTAAAACCTTATAATAAGGTGCGAAGCACACGGCGAGTTGCAGCAGTCATTTTGTATGTGATAGGTCGGCAAACGAGCACCTGATGGTAACCAATCAGCGCCGCCTATGGATACCCGCAACAACGGAGGAGTTACGAGTGCGATGCAATGGTTTTCGTGATTTTGGGATTGGAGGAGGGAAAGGGGAAGGATTAGGCTTTTAGGCTTTCGGCAATTCACACGGCGAAACACAACACTGTGGTTGTTTCACACCGATTCTCTGTGAATCCGGGGTATCACTCTGGTTGAGCGGATTCATTCGTGCTGAAGTATGGCGCTCTCTCACACTTGAAAGCAGTAAAGAACCAGGGTGTGACAGTGGCTTACACTTATTTTCATTTTACTATCGTTAGCGGTGAAATTGACCATCCGCCGCGTGCTTCGCGCGTAATTGAACATCTGTAGTAGAAGGGAATGCTGACCGTGTATGGCTGACTCAGTCGGCGTCGGCGTGCGCGAGCCGCGCGAGATGCGCGCCCCACCAGGAGTGCACGTCGTGCAGCACGGGCAGGTCGCGGCCGCAGCCCGCCGCCGCCGCCGCCGCCGCCGCCGCCGCCGCCGCGCCGCCCACGCTATGCGAACTGTTGTGACTCGTGCGGGAACCGCTCTTTGTGTTCGCTGCCAACAATATATTTAAACTATGAGCATAATTACTACATATATTATATTTATACAAAACTATTCATGCCCAATCTCTAAAACACCGGCAACACACTCCAGGTGTTCATGGGTGCATAAAAAAATTACATAAAGCTATATGTAAGTGGTAGTTAGGGTGGCTGGCAGTAGTTGGATGAGAAGAACTGAACATCGAGCTCAGTGGCGTGCAATGGGGAAGCCTGTGTACAGCAGTCCGAAATCAGGCGGATGATGATACATATGTATGTATATAAAATTTCAATTTCGCTCGAGGTATCACTGTGTTTCTTAGCGACATTGCGTAACTTTAGCCAGGAAAATCAATTGTCAGTTATAAAAATAAATAAAATTACTGATCTGTTATAACATAGCGGGCAATTTGTAATATTACCCGCTGAATCAATAATTCTTCTAGAGTAAACTCTTTCAACGTTAATATGTCAATTACTAATGATATTCACCTGTTAAATATAAAGACCGGTATAAAGTACAGATTAAATTAGGATAATATAAAAATTTTGATCACTTACACTTACATGAAGACTTCTTTATGAGGGTAGGATGTGGGTCACTAAGAGTTGGTTGTAGGTACTTCTTGATAGGACTCTCAGGCCTGTAAGAAAATACGTTATGAATATTAAAGATACCTATATTATTATGTTCTGTAATGCACTGTTTGATATTTCCATTCTCCAAGGAGTACACAATGGAAATAAGTTAGCAAACCATTTAACCTTACTACAATGCAAACTTCAAATGTTATATCTACCTCGGAATAGTAACAGATGGCAACCCAGGTCTTTTGAATTGGCTTTTCGTTGATGATCTCTTTGGTTGTGAATCAAATGATGATGATATATCTGCGGATAAACAAAATATGAACTGTTTGTACTATCTATACTTTTAAAGGGTATATTATATTCCATACATTCACATATGAGACTTAAAGGGACTTTTAGTCCTCAGGACAAGACGTAAGTCAAATACTGAAGAAAGTTAGTTTTAAATTTAAATAATAAGGACGTTTTTGCTATTTTTACCTATCAAACATGATAATGAACCCCCTGATTAACTTACTGGATATAACTGGCTGTGATGCGGACTCCGTTATTTCTGTGCGACCTGCGTTAGCGATCGTTTGCTGCAATACCATTTAATAAGATTAGTTTTTCGTTACTTTGTTATGAATGATAATGAATGAAAATATTTCATTTTTAAGATCTGTGTCATACAAAATTAAAATTGATGTGCTAAATATATCTACAGATAGGTAAATACCTGAGTTTCTGTTTCCTGTTTCTCTTTGTCAACTTTTTCGTTGCTCATACTGTCAACTGCTTGTTCATTTGTTTTTCTTAGACCCGCGATCAAACTGTTTGTTGGTTGTTTCTGTAAGAAAATAATAATCAGACACAAAACTCTAATACCGGTTAATTAAATTGGCGCAATCACATAGATATTAGGTATTTCTAAATAATTGGCGTAATTGTAATATCAACAAAAATATCATATTATGATAAAAAAAACAAAAACATTGAGAAATCCATCTTTTGTTTTCTCAAAAAAACCACAAAACCAATAGACTTACGCTATTAGCTCGTATTTTCTTTAGACAGCCTTCAAGCCACGTCCTTATAGTTTGTTTGGCGACCTCCTCCTCGATCAGAAACTCGAACTCTTCTCTAGCCAATAATTCTTCCATCTGCAGAGACTTACGGATGTCCACGGTGCGGTAAGACAGCATACTGTTAACATTTCATTCAAATATCAGCGATAAGTAAAAACCCAACAATTAAATTGCAAAATTACTTCTTACTGCTTATAAAATACAGTTCTTAATTTTGCAGATCAAACTACAAAAAATGTTGACTTACTTGATGACGTCGTGGAAGGTAACGTCTTCGCCATTGTGAAGTCGTTCGAGTTCATAGCACATGTACTTAAATAACAGCCTTTCCTTATGTGTGTCGCATTCTAAACGTCCTTTTAACAGTCGCAATATAAATTTCACCTGGAACACCAAGGAAAGTCTTAGTGCATAAGCGACAGTAAATTTAAAGAATCTCACCTAACATACACAGATTCAGAATAAAAACATTTTCGTGTGAGAAAAACTTTCCTACAACTACTATTTTCATTTTTGTTTAGACTTTGCCCTACATTAGGATTTTCTCCTGTGTCGTGGGTGAGTTTACAAACATATAATTTCACACACACATCATATCCAGACCCGAAACAACAATTTGTAGATCACACAAAGAGTTGTTCCGTGCGGAAATCGAACCCGCGATACGTTGCGCCGCTGCCAGTTGCCCAGCCACTGCGCCAACCGTGCAGTCAGTGTCGATTATAATTTCTACTTATAATTATAAATTCACGTGTTACTTTGACACGGATTACTTCCTTACCTTTCTAACCGGTATAACTCCTTTCTGATGTACATCAACCACATTCCAAGTATTTTGAAAGTTTCTTATATCAGCGTAAGACAGCAGAGCATCTTCTTCGTTTGAGTAGAACAGTGAGAAGTTCTCCATGATAATAGCTGCAAAATACATAAAGCATATCAGGTAACTCATATATTGTAATAAATGCATTACGATTACATGATCGTATTTAAATCTTGTTTTATCTATCTATATGTATTTCTATACTAATATTATAAAGAAGTAAAATTTGTAAGTTTGTATGTAGGAAGTAATCCTTGGAATCGCTGGTCGGATTGCCAAAATTCTTTCACTGATAGATAGCTACAATGTTCGTGAGTGCTATAGGCTTAAACATCACGCTACGATCAAATGGACTGGAGCAGCGACTGAAACCGCGTGAGAGTAGCTGGTCTCATATAAGATAAAGAAGAGGTAGAAGCACAGCATCAGCAATCGATTGCCACCTACTTTCCTATAATCCTCTATTACTCTTCTCACGTTAATTAGCTAGTGTAAATTTTACATGCGCTTTAAAATATAAGTTGTACTGACCCACAAGCAAATTGAGCACGATGTAAGTAATGATGACGTAGAAAGTGCAGAAATACGCGAGCGAGGCGGTGAAGTTCCCGCAGTCAGTCTCCCAGTAGTTGTCGGCGGGCGTGCAGTAAGGGGGCGCCACCATGCAGTCGTGCATTATCTTGTTCCAATCCTCCCCGGTCACTATACGGAACAACATCGCCACGCTGTGGATCGGCGAGTTGAAGTTTGCACGCCTAAAACCAAATTTGTTTTTAAATGTACACATAATATATTTGCATGTATATTAAGGGTCCCTGGCATCCCTGATTATTACAAAATGATTATAACAATATTGGAAAAGTTTATAATCCGGGATATCAACATACCTGCCAATACCTTCACCGTACTTGACATTCCCGAATACAATAGTCCCAGCGAGTGCGTAGAAGAATACAAGTAGAAACATGCCGAAGATGATGAAGAAACTCTTGCACACACTCACGCCGACGGTTAGCATTAACATTTTGAGTGTCGTGTGTTTGCCCGTTATCGTGAAGAAACGGAGAATAACCACCATGAAACCCACGAAGTATGACAAGTCATTCTATAACCAAAAGAAAACTATATTATATATAGAAAAATGGGATCGTGAACTGAAATTACAATACCATTCAATCACCACGTCTGTTTTCCACGTTGAAGGAAAACATAAGGAAAGGACATGGCCAAAAAAGTACATTCCACGTACACGAACAAAATTAATACACTGTAAAATACAAATAGAAATATGAATTATTACGAAGTTTTTAGCCTCTCCAGACCTGACAATTATTATTAAAAAAATGTAAAAGTAAAGCAACAAAATCAACTCATCGTTTGTCAAGTTTCGCCATAATAGTCCATAGAGAAAGATAAATAAAAAAACGTTCCAATTCCAAACCACGTGTCTTAAACTACACTCGTAGAAAACGTGTGATATGATCGACAAATGCATTACACTAGGAACATTTTATTCATACGAAACTGTATTCATTGGTTGTAGTTGCATTTTAAAATATACTCATATTATAATAATATTATGTTTTATTTTTATCCAATTCACCAAAAAAAAACTTAAACGAAACGGAACGTGTTTGACACTTTTGACAGCGTGTTGCTAATAATACTGGAGTAACTGTTTTGCGTTTTGGTTTTGTTTTGTGGATTACGATGAGGTGCATCAACTGCGGAATAGGCGTACAAAGGCTGCAGAGGCGTCTTATATCCTCGCTTTCTGCACACCATCAAACAAAACTTTCACGTTGGTTAACCATAGCTCAAACCCAGGTATGAAGTCGGAATAGTATAATACTTAGTCTGTTTTATTATGTTTTATAATGGTATGCGATTTTAAATAGTGCATCTTTTTTTTAGTTGCCCCTGGGGACATTCATTTGTCAACCACGCTTCTTATTATTGAATACTGAGGCTGGTGAACATGAGAGACTACTGAGACTACTACTGAGAGGGCATAACATGGCTTGCCTTGGTTGTGGAAAATCGGTTCGAAAAATAAGACACCATAATGTCAGTATGGACTCTCCATTGCTAGCTGGCCTAATATCACAAAATACTATTAATGTGGTAAGCATTTTGTTTTTTATTCATTGTTTTATATATGTACTTGTATTTATCTATATTAATCTATAAAAAAGTACTCATAGTAGGTATGTGTGATTATAATATCTATCTTTATGTATTTTCCATGTTTGCATAGACTTCTTTATAGTAGGCATGTTGTAACATAATACTTCGCACTGTACAAAAACATAAAACTTGAAAACATGTGTTTATTCTAACTGGGGTTTATTTTCAGACCCCAGGAAGCAACTATGTTTGTCATGTGTGCTGTATGCGGGCAAATAGACAGACAGTGCAGGACTTATCACGAAACTTGCAGGAATTGGGTTTGGACAACAATGCAGCAGCCCCTTATATTCAAGTGGTTAGCCCACCAGAGCCACCACCATTACCACCTGTTTTAAGCAGGCCGCTTCAAATGGAAAGTACTACCATATTATTACCCAATTATACAGAACATATATTACAGAAACGTACATTCCATACACAAACATAATAAAATACACTTTATAATAAAAATATAAAAGTGAATTATAACGTAGTTTAATTTTATTTGTTTTCCTTAATAAATAAATCATTATTCTACATATTCTTTTGTTTTATTATATAAATAAATAATTAAAACGCCATGGTTTTTGAAAGCAAAATCTTATTTCGTGCACTTATGGCCCGTAATCTGACTAAAGGTTTAGTGAAACTATTTTCGTCTTGTTTGGTATAATTACGAGTTCTTCATGTGTTTTATTTTTTGCAATTTAATTTAATAATATTCACGAATGTAAACACCAAAAATCATTGATGTACATTGAATTCAATAACTATGCAAACGCCCATACAAAAGTTGGCCATGTCCTTTGGATTTATAGTTTCTTATTATAAGTATGAAACCGCCCATCCGCCTTAACAAGCTTGGCGATTAAAACTCAAACCTTCTCTGTGTGAGAAGAGGCCTTTGCTTAGCAGTGGACACTTTTAGGGTGATGACGTGATGATTTGCTGTGTGTCTGTTTTTCATTGAGGTAGGAAAGAGCACGACTCTGGCAATAATCTTCATGAAAGCTCGTCCATCAAACACTTGGTTTTTATTAATACGTCTTCTATTTGATAGACGACTATAGACTATGTCTCATAATATCTAACATACCTTTAATGTAAAATGCATGAAAATCCAGATACATCCTGCGACAGTTACTAATAGATCGTATCGGTTGCGTCGACTCTGCCAGTAGCCGCGCGGCGTGAAGGCTATAGTCTTCAGCAGTACTTCCACCACAAATACCAACGTTAACAGAGCTGACGTCAGTGCCAGTTGTTCTGTGTAAGGTGAATATCGGGACCACTGTAATGTAAATAAACAACCTTGTGAAGAAGGTGATGATTGCTTTATATTTTTATTATATTTTACAAAAAAAACACATTTTATACTGTGTCACCACCACCAAAAACCAATAAACTTAGAATAAATGTTGCTTCTCCAGGACGCTTTGTAGATCCAAACAAAAAAAACTTCGGAAGAATTCATACTTAACTTATAATTCAAAATGTTAATCGTCTCTCTAGACGAGGGTTCAAAACGGAATGTCATTGCATGTAATGGCAGCTATATAATATTAACAAATCAGTAACAGTAAAAAGTAAAGGTATGATAACAATGCGTGTCTAGCTAGAATGGACATTGTCCTGACAATAGTTGTTGGTGCACTCAATACGCAATGGTTGGTTGCATCGCTTGGAGAACCTAATGAATACCTTCCATTTTTAATCTACAATAAAATAAACAAACTTGCCCACCCCTGTAAATATTATTTTCTTAATATTTAAACTTAATGACTTACCGTGACAGCCAGCAATCCACTGTTAAGGAGTACCACGATGGCGATTACTCGCTTGAAGCTCAAGTTCTGTGTGACGTCATATGCAAAAGCTCGGACTTTTCTTTTGTTGGGGCGAGGTGGTAAGTGGAGGGGCTGAGCGATTTTCAACCTCTTTTTCAAGTCGCACCTACGATCGAAAAATATATTTATGAAACCGCGTTTGTTTTTTGTTTATATATTTTTAATTCAAATAAATAAAATTTAAAAAATATATATAGCAGTTTCTTATGTGCCCTTACCAACGTCGCTGGTCGACAGTCAAGAGAGCAGTTCCCTTGTTTTCTGAGTAATTAGCAATCACCACGCCAACGAACAGAGTTAGTCCAATCATACAGCCCAAGAATATGTAAACGTGTATGTAGATTGCATGAACCTGTCAAAGAAACGATTCGATTGAACAAAATATAATGTAGAATCAAAGACAAAAAATATTGGCTTAAGAAATATAGTATCATTCAAATGTTCCATTTAATTGGTAATATAATTTATTGCAAGTTACTGGGTTGACTGCGATAAGCTCTACTAGTTTCAAGTCACAACGGGACTCTTTACTCATTGGGCCGAGCAGCGCCGTGACCTGGTCGCGGCCGTAGGTGCTGCGGGAAATCTCTCGCTTCCGGCTGTAGTGTCCACTATGGTCGGGATCGGGGTCCTCTCTCCCCTCCCACAGCAGACGCGCTAGACGTCGTAGGGTGGCCGTGTTGCGGCCAGGGCTAGTCTAATTTAATTTCTCAAAAAATATGAATACAAACCGGTCCCAAAGCTTTAATCAATACATCTCGAACATCCAACCAGCCTTTGAAGGAGAGCACTTCAAATAATGTTAAGAGAGCATCGCCAATGTTGTCAAAGTTGAATCTTTTCGGATTTGCCCTGTAATTGACAATAATATTATTATCAATATGTTCAAACAAACGCGCACACACACACACAGGCCTAGTGCTTTTAAGCAGTTTTCTTACCCAAACAGATTTACTCAGTTGCATTTACTTCTGTAACCTTTCGAAAATGTTCTAAAATTTAAATTTTTTGTTCTCATTAATCTACCCCAACGTGTTAATCTACCTCATTTATTGTTAAAGATTTTCTTATGGTTTGGTAATAAAGCTAATAAGCCTATCAACAGTTTGAGGTTGCTGTAAAATAACATACCAGACTCGCGGCACTAGCATGGAAGGGAAGGTCTCGTTAGGTCCAGGCCGGATCTTCATCTTGGTAACGAATACACGACGCATGAACACGCCCACACAGTCCTCGCGTTTTGTTATTGTAGGGTCGTTGCACCGTGCCAATCTAGTGTATCGAAGTGAGTCAAATTCATAAAAACAAAAGTAAATACACTTTAACCAACATAATACATTATATAATAACATCAAATGATGTAATACAATCGATTGAAATGTAATACAATTATTTATTTTGATGAGTATAAGTTATGTTATATCATACCTTCCGCCATATAGTTGCACCCCGTAGCTCGCAAATACAAACATCAAGAGTATCAAAAGTGTTGATACCTGTAGGAAATATTTTTTGCATGTTATAGTTGTTATATACAATGTAAGAACACATAAAGAAGGCTAGTTCCAGAGACCAGAAAGTTTCAAGCTACCGTAAATAATTTTTCACTTCACGATTTGACAATAAAAATCTCCAAACATTAGATAACTTGACCTGCATCACTGTCATTAAAAATAGCCTTAATTTTAAGCTCTTTTTTGTTAATTTTATCATTTTTGTAATGTTTTATTTATTTGCGACTTTATGTATGTGATGTGGCGAATAGCTTTTTCTTTATTTATTTTTATGTCTTACTTCAGATTTCATTTTTTTCTTTTCTTCAGTAGGAAGGGATCACAGAATTAATGTTGGATGCCCAACTAACACTGAGTACTTTAATATTTGTTCTGTCTTTACTCACGAGTAAAATCTCCTTGAAGCCACGGCACAATTCGTAGACAACTTTGCGCATGTGGGGTACCAGTGTGAATATCCTTAGTGGTCGAACACAGCGCAGTATCATCAGCATCTGTGCCGGAGAACCAGGGGGTACCTTAACTGGCATCCAGCATAGGAACGTTAGTGACACCTGAATAAAAAAAAAATGTGTATTTTGACTAATTAAAATGTATTATTTCGACTCAAATCAACGATACTTACGATATAAATAAAGACATCTAGTACAGCCGCTGCGTCTTTGAGATAAGCTTTAGGTGTAAAGAATAGTCCATCCGCTAGAATTTTCAACGCCAGTTCTAAGCTCATGAAAATAACAAATCCATACTCTGCAATCTGAGAAAACGGATACTTTTGTTAAAATGTAGTAGGTAGGTAGGAGTATAAGGTTTGTCTATAGACACTCGTGTAGCGTTTTTCCGTCCATTAAAAATAATGTTATCAGATTTATATATTTATTTACCTGCAATACAAAGTTTTCCATCACTCTGTACGTAGGCGTCTCGAACATCATGGACAAGCAAGAGAGTGTAGTAACCATAATCATAACCCAGTCCATATAAGTTACGAGTCCCAGGAAATTACTGAAAATTTGACAAATGAACACCATATTTTGCACCAATATTTATATTGTACTTATAAAAACGTAAATTTTTCAATGAAAATTTAGGGAAATTTTTAAACCTTAATATTATTGTAGAAAATGTTATTTTAGTATCAAAATTGCTCCAAGACGTCAGATCTTTTGAGGATCCAATTCTTTTTAGTAAGCAGTACCTAAGCCAGTGGTTGGGATGGGGCTACACTATCTTAAGTTAGATTATATAAGAAAACTCATTTTTTTTTTGAGGAGAAAAATCTTCTAGTGGCTTTTCTCGCCCTGGTCGGGCCTCGAGGAAGTGTCAGACTATTACTGACTAAAAACCACCTGGTTCCTTCTCCTGCACCAGGTCGATGCCTTGACACAATTATTGCGCTCGCCCCGTGACCCCGGCACAATGTCTCATATATGTGTATTACTTAATTATATGAACAAATTTATAAGGGCAGATCACTCAAAAAATACTTCAAGTTAACTTAATATACTTACTGGAAACTTTTATAGTGCACTTTTCTCTCATTGCCAGTAACAGGGTCTCGTAGTCTGGCATCATATCGCGCGTCAACTATGGCGCGACATATCTTCCTGAAGCGAGACTCTCGCGGTACTATTAGCAGTGGTGTGTCGAACAACGGGTGATTTTCACGCAAATCCTCTTCCCGTTGATTCCTAATTATTAAACATTAATTTTTATCTTTTAAATTATGTGATTAAGGACAGATTAGGGTGTATGTATTGTTTTCATCATTTTTTGTTATATACAACTCTTTTGCTTGATTTGAACTGATTTTTAAAATAATAAAACAATTAAGTACACAACACGTTTCAAATTGAAAAAAACGAAACACACGTTTTAAAGCTTCGCGAAACGTTAACCTTTGCCCGTAATTATCTTAAAGAATGCCTTAAAGAACCCACCTTCTCATCTCAGCTTGCTGTCTCTTGGCTTGCAGTAGTCGTATGTCGAGGTACGGAGGGCGAGCTCTTGAAGACGGTACGACTCGCGAGGCTGCACCGATGTCGCCATTTTCCAGCAAATGTTCATATGTTTGCTTCAACTTAATA